CTTGTTTTCTTTTTGGTATCAAAATGCAATAGATTTCTTTGTAGTACTTCGAGCTTTGTGTTCTCGCGCTTTAACAACGAATGAGAAAAAGCCCCTTCTAATTTTTTACCGAAGCTTGGTCGTAGTTTTTTTTTCTTCTGAAAGCGCTAATAAACGCAGATGTCTTGGTTTTTTGTGAAGCCATCAAGACTAATATTAATCAAGGTGGTATATTCTTCTAGATAAATAAGACAATTTTTGGTGTTCGGACTGATTCTTTATTGTCCGTGTTCGTGCAACACCTAGATGACTGATCTACCGTATTGTACACATATTTCTGGAGAAAATTCTGCATTTAAAACACCAGTAATACGTCAGTCGTCAATAGCATTGTCTACAAGCAGTGAGAACACAAAAAAAAGTTTTTTTTTGCCGTGACAGCGAAATTAAACAACAATTATCTTGGTCATCTTTCTCTTGTTATCATTGGTTCAAATCTAACTAATGGTGTAAGACATTGATCTTAATCGTGTCCTAAGCCATTCACACTTGAAACAGCCGACCTCGCCCGGGCACGCGCCAATCTTTGCTGTTTTTACGGTCGTTAATGTTAGCATTGCGACAAATCGAGTTTAATCCTCTCAAATAGGACATTTGAATGCTCTCAATCATAACAGCTTTCTTGCAGATTTTTTCGCAACTACTGGCACGAAATTCTTGTTTTTATTTTCCCTACGAAGGCTCCCTTTTTCGAACTCAACGATACTAGTAGCCTCAACTAGACATCGACATCAACGCCATTGATGGAGTAAGGCTAATTATAATTATTGATCGGTAAAGTCTACGATCGTTACTGTCCGCTGAGGGAGGCCGGTACTCACTATAATTTGCACTCGTGCGACGGTAATTGGCCCTCCAATGCACGCCGTGGATGTTTTGACGAACGTTATGACGAAATCGAGAAAGTTTTGAAATTGGCGAAATAATTCGGGCTGAGAACTTCTCCGTTCGTTATCTGCTTAGACTATCAGCTAAGCCACTCAAAAGTGTATGCGTAAAGAACGGCGAGTTGCGGAAAATCTTTCCCATGTTTGTGTTAATTAACTCCAGCAAAACATCAATCTAATTTATTGATTGTAAACTTAAGTAGGAAAAAATCTCATAAGCTTTTTGCTGATGATGTGCCCAAGAACATTCAATGTCCATAGATACACTGACCAGAGGTTCAAAAAAAAAGAGCAAATTGAATAATCTCTTGCAAAAAAACGAACCTTGAACTCGAGGTGGTATTGAAAATTGAGATCTAACGAGATCGAAGCACAATATACAAAATATCAGACGTATCATCGCTTGAATCGACACTCTAACATAATTTGTACGAAGTTATGAAGCTTCAGAAAAATAAATC